AAAGAAATTTGGAATGTTGGTGTCATTGATAAACACATCATGAAATTAATGTATATATTTAAAGACCTGAAAAAGACCATTGAGAGACATCACAACCAAATGAGGAAAAGGTACTTGGAGGATATAAATGACCAGAAGAACCGATAAAGTTTATTTATGACTTATTTAACATACCAATGTTCTTAGTAGCCCCTGAGGAAAAATGTTTGAGTAAACAGAAAAGAAAATTTACTGGGACTATAGGGATAAACACAAAAAAGAAAAAGTATGACTACCAGAAGAAGTAGTCAATTCAAAAAAGGGGGATGTTGTGAAGTAGCTGAACACCCCCAGAAGATGGACTGGTCTAAGACTACTTAAGGAGTTAATGATTAACTGTTTATGATATTAGTCTGTGTTCTCAACTATATACCATATTATTCTCCAGAATAAACTACTACTTATTTTCTATATGTGTGTCAACCTTTTCTATTTACAACATAACACTTTACACAGTGGGCTAACTTTGGAAATAGAGGTATGATGATGTATAACTTAGCCCAATCTGTTTCTGATAAGTGATTAAGATCTTTGGGGGGAAATGTATGGCCAAGCTGAGTTCATAAAAGGTTAAATTTCTTAAAAGTTGGGGGTGGGGGATTTCCTTATTTGGGCATTGCCATCCCAAAGTACAAAAATCGAATGATTGACTTGAAGAGGAAGGTTTTACAAATTCTGAAAGGGTTTAACCAATACACCTTTAATATTGGTAACTTATGGTGTATGGATCTTAGTCATTTTTAGTATATCTAATGATCTAGAGCAAGAAAATTGCTGCATTTTGAGTAAAATTGAACCAATTTTCACCCAATTTTGGGTGAAAGTCAGTATAGATAATATTTTCATCTATTTTGATGGTATTCTGAGGTAATTCATAACTAACATCCTGTCTGTAACCCAAAAATAGTAATATTACAACCATTTTTATCCATTTGTAGCCTAAATTTTGATTCAAGCATACACACAAAATTTACAAATTAGATAAGTTTATGGTCTCTGAAATAAACTTTGTTCCTGCGTTAAAGAAGAAAGGGTTAAGAGTCACATGGCAAACTGAAAAGATTAGCCTGAATTTTCAAAAAAAAAAAACAACAACAACAAATAGTGCAACTTTGGGGAAAATCAGATATATTCTTGACAAATTTTGTAGCAATTCTGATTTTACTTTGTCAAAATCTTAATGAATTCATCACAAATCAATGATTTTTCCAATCAGAATTCAATTATATGGTATTCAAAGTTAGAAAAATGATACTAGCTGTATTTCCTCAGCTAACCATAACAGATTTTAGCACATTCACTTACCAGAGTGATGTAGCATTTAAAAATATGCAGTCAGGATATGGCCAAGAAATAGCTAAGATTTTATTCAGATTTCTGTAACTTTAAAATAACATAAAATCTATTCTAGATATGCTAGAGACTTAATTTTTTGTTTGTTGTTTTTTTTTTTGTTTTTGCTTTGTCTTTTCAGAAATTTAATGTCGATCCATTTTATAAACAAAGGATGAAGTAAGAAATAACATGATTTTTTTTACCAATTTCCACCTCTAGGCCCAGTGTGCTTTACCTAGTCTCAATATTCTGAGCATGTATTTTCTTTTAGAAATAAAATTTCTGGATTTCCATCATCATATTTGCTGTCAATAACTTTCAATAGACAGATGATCTTGATAGCAATGCCCAACATAAAACTGTTGAATTTAGTGAAAACAGCAAAAAAAAATTATTTTATTATTATTTTGGTCAGCATCAGTGCATAAAACCTAAACAACATAGTTTTATGTTCTAATGATGGTTTCTCCTGCCAAGGGGGACACAGGTTCAAATCCTGCAGGAGAGCACATGTTTTTCTCTAACAAGATTTCACAAATATTTTAGACCGGTAGACGAAAATAAATAAATATACTGTAATAAATAAACAGAGAATCTACTCAAACAAATATGGATCCACTAAAAATAATGTTTAAGTAATAAAATCTGTCGGATTAATAAATAAAAATACATCACTTCTTTAGAAACCGAACGAATATGAATGTCTTGAAGTTGAGAGTCTGAGAAAAATTTGCATTTATAAGTAACAATCCCATGCTGACACCTCCAAGTTAAAACTCAATAAACCCAAGGGAGATTAAGTTATAAACTTTTTTTTTGTGACTGACTCTCTCTCTCTAAGAGCAGTCAGTTTTTGTTTTTTTTGTTTTTTTTATCTAATAATTTCTCCTCACTCTACTACTCATTCTCCTTCATCCATAGGAACCCCCTGCATCCTAGTGGCATTTATCACTTTGCCTGGGGATTATTACATGATTAAAAAAATAAATTTTTTAAATATTATTTTTATTTTACAAATTATGAAACTTATTGATAACAAATATTGAATGAAATTTGTGTTTTTTTTGTTTTTTTTTACTACTTACGGGGAGAGGGGATATAACTTATCGGGCAGTATTTTTCGTTTTATTTCGAATGTACGGCTTTTTATGGTGAGGTCTCGAATATGAGGTTAGAAAAAAATATAAATTAAGAGGAATGTAAGGGAGGCAAATCGATGTTTAGTTTGAAACGCTAAATCTAACAATAACTGAAAATTTCCATAAAATATTCATTTTCATATCTATTTTTAAAACACGTTCAATGAAGGATGAATACGTTATTTCACGAATTTGTTCACATTGGCCAAAACCTCATTTAATTCATCGCTCGGATCAAACTGTAAAATATTTTTTTTAAAGTCTATTTACGAAACTATGAATTCACAGTCAAGTCAGCCATTTAAACGAAAATACACACCCCAACTCGTGACAAGAAAATACCCTTGGCTTTAACTTTTTAAGATATAAAATTAATGTACATTTTTTAATCTACTTTACTTTAACGAAAAGAATTAGGCTACGATCATTTTCAACATGAATAATAAAAAACACCGAGTGAAATAATTTATCTACGACGAATAAGAAGACAATCAGCAGGTGTTGCCGCCCCCACAAAAAAAAATTAATTCGATTCAGTTTTTGTTTATGTAGTTTGAAAATTCATTAATAAAACATTTCACGGACGAGTAATTTGATCTTTCAATGAGAGGGTGAAAAAATGAGACAAATGATAGGTCAATGCTTTTTCAGAAGTTTTGTATCACAGAAAACATTAAAAAAAATAGGAAGGTTTTTTTTTTTGTCAAACAAAACTCGAAAGGCCTAAAACAAATGAAATTGTAAAATAATTAAATTTAACAGAAATATTGTGAATGTGAAGAATTTTTTTTTTAAATCGAGCAAAAGTTCTTGTTCACCAAAGAGTCTGATTTACATTTTAATACAAAAAAGACACTTCCCTGAACAAACAAAAAAAATTGTGGAGTTGTAAAAACATTTTCATTTTTTTTATTTTCGTGTGAAACTTTTTCTTTTAACTAAAATTAAAATTAACACCTGTCTAAAAATTAAATCTGACCTTGGAATTTTTTTTAACCTTTCCTCATATTTACATTCTAAAATCCCGTTTAAAATTTGGTTTTTAACTGAAGTAAAAGACTTTTTAGAGATGAAAACGATTTTTTTCTTACTTTCCTTCGTTCTTTGGGAAATGTGTTTTTTTTCTCTTTAAGGAAAGAAACTTAGCAGCTGATTTTTAGCTTGTAAAATTTGAAATCAAAACTGGGCCCTGATTTTGTGTTTGATTAGGCAAATTATGGCTGTAAAAAAGTGCATCCAAAATTCTCTAAAAAAAAAAAAAAATTCTTAAAATCGAGATATTGATTTTTTTTTTATTTCTTCAATTGAACGTTTTGTCATTTTTACTGTTTTTAGTCCAGTTGGATTTTGACCTTTCACAGAGGCCTACAAGTGGACATAAAGTCTGGGTCCAGTTTGGTAAAATACCTCCCACAAATCTAGTAAGATGAAGATACCATTGCCACTATGTATTTACCATTATGTGGGAGGTATTTCTGCCGCACCCTGTACGAAGTAAACTGAACTCCAAATTTAGAACCAACACACTCGATCCCATTTTATAACTTTTTTTTTTTCTGGAACATGAAAAGATTCCTAAATCAATGACATGATGTAACAGAGCAAATTAAAAAAATATATTTTCTTACAAAATCCTTTTACTTCAGTTCAAAACTAATCTTAACCAAAAATGGTTTAAAATGAAAAATAATTTTCATTTTTTTTTTTTTTTTTATTCACGACCATCGAAATGTCAGGGCGTGTTTTGGCCATCAAGGATAAACTTAGGTTTTTGTTTGATAACCGAAGCAAAAGGCACTTTTTAAAAAAATTTTCCAAATTAATTATTATTATTTACCAAATAATTTTTTTAAAATGGTAGCATTTCTTTAACAAAAAGAAAAACTCCAATAATTTTAATTTGTTTTTTCTTGGAAATATTTTTAGAAAATAAGTTTTTAGTTTATTTACGAAGAAAAATAATTTACTCCACAATTTTTTTTTTACGAAGTTTTAAAAAGTGCTTACGAGATTTTAATCATTTTTTTTTCAAATAAATTAAAGGTCTAACGTGCTGAAATATCACAATAAAAAACGAAATAAAAGTCCAAAAAGGATTTAGCTGTGCTTTTCGTTGATTTTTTTTTTATTTTGCAAAAATTATACAAATCTTAGCCAAAATACAATTTGTAACAGGTGAGCCGACAATTCTAAAAGGACACAACTGATCGAGATGACTAATGACAGCTTTTAGGAGATAATAAAAAATATATAAAGATAATAAAAAAATGTTTCGTATTTAATAATATCAAAAAAAAATATGGACTTAAGATAAAAAAAAAAAAAGTTCATAACCATTTTTTTTTTAAAGACACTCAAGGTCTGTTTTTTTTTTTTTGTGTTACACGTCAATTACTGGAGTGGAGCGTCATACCAAATTCCAAAATTAAGCCCACAAAGAAAGAAATTCATCATTTGGGGAGATGATAATCGAAATATATCACTTACATTCGAGAAGGAAATACATTAATACGGTCCGTCATTGTTTTTTTGTTGTTATTTTTTTCTTTAAGGTGTTATGCCTCGCAAGATTATGTGAAATTTTGTCAGCCTAGAAAATTTAGTCATATGACCCGGTGTAAGATCAATTAGTCACTCCGAAAAATTTCGCCCATTTTTCATAACATAATTATCAGATTATTACCAGTTTGGCCTTTTTTGACGACAAATTTCTGAAATTTGGCTTTTTTTTTTCGTGTTGGTTTCGCACCAGAGAATTGATTTAGCGTCTTTGGCTTTTTCTTGGCTATTTTTTTTTTTTTTAACATGATTGAAATATAAAGACTGCTATGCTACAATCTTTTTTTTATCCTTAGTAATGCGCCTGACCTGAATTATATAGATTTCGGCCCTTTATCATCACATCCTTATTAATCCAGAAGGGGAATGGATCCCAGAAATTTATTGTTAAAAAAAAGCAATAATGATTCTTTTTGAAAACGTATTCTAAATTTCTCTTTCATAAAATAAATAAACTAATCACTGTTTTCTCCTGGTCTTTCACATGCTCGGCCCTCTTCTCCAGTGTTTTTTTTTTCAGAAATTATTAAGTTCTTTAAATGAAAAAAGACTTACGGATACCCATACTAAAAAAATTAATAAAATAGTTATTATCAATAGATTTGATAAGTTAACTAACTTATCAAATCTATTGATAATAACTATATAAAGAAAAAAAAAAACTTTTCAATTAAAAATTTTAAATTTCATGAAATTCATCTAAAAACGTTTTTTTATTTTAATCATGAAGTAAAATATTAAAATTAAAAAAAAACTCTAAAAAAAGTTGTCTCATATCACAAAAGACAGATTAAATAAATAAAATGTGTGTGTGAAAGACAAGATTTAAAAATAAAATCCTCTTAGTGACGCGTTTCATTCAGAGAAGGAACTTCTTTAGACTGACAATCATGTTAGTATGAAATTTGAGTAACAACCCAAAAAATGTCTCTAAGTCTTGTCACTAGGAAGCATATTTGCTCTGTCTTGGTAAATTAAATGCGCATGAAATTATTTACATTATTCAGGCTATTGTCCTCATCTTTGTCGCCATACTTATTACAATGTTTCAGCCATTGTACACTCCAGCTTTCTTCATGTGGTTGGAATGTCAAACTGAACCCTTTATTTCGCTTACTGGGGTAGACTGTTCTAGTTCCATGTGCCATGTTTAATGGTCAGTTATCAGTTATCTGCTGTTAATTTCCCTCTGAAAGTTCTCCACTGCCTTAACCGGGTATTGAACTCCTCTTTGGGTCCTGTCACTGGATCTAACTAACACCTTTATCCACTGTGAATTTCAGGAGATAACTGATAAGTGACATCTATTAAACATGGCACGTGGAACTAGAACAGTCTATCCCAGTGAGCAAAATAAAGGGTTCAGTTCGACATTCCAACCACCTGAAGAAGGCTGGAGTGTACAATGGCCGAAACGTTGTAATAAATATGGCGACAAAGACATGGACAATAGTCCGAATAATGTAAATAGTGTACATAATACTTCATCTCAGAAATATAGACAGGTGCATGAAATTGTATACTGTTTTTCGGTAGGCGTCTGTCTTTTTGATTTTTTCTTCTTAGATTACGTTTTTTTTCTTTTTCCCTTTTTCTTCTATCGGTCTTTCTCTTGGATTTTGTTTTATTGGTTGTTGGTTTTTCTTTTTATTAGTTTTTTTTCTTTGGTCACCTGAAGGCTTTGTGTTGGTTTTACCAATACTTTGGTGGTATAGTGTGTGTGTGTGTGTGTGTGTGTGTGTGTATGTGCATACATGCACATGGTTGTCTGCTGGATTTCCCCTTCAATCTCTAATATTTGTGTTTTTGTTTCTTGTGAGGTGCTATTCCAGCAGGAGGTATGTACACTCGGCCACAGTATGGGCAGCTGATGCTGTCACAGTATCTTGAAATTCATTGACTAATCTGCAAGCAATAGTCTGTAAAAACGTTAGCACAAAGAAAAGAAACTCACTACTAACCTCATGGCCCTCAAACTTGTTTACTTGGTTAGTTTAGGGTTGTGTGTTGTATTAATGTTACTAGGTCAGGTTCAAAGGTCATGTGCTGAGCAAAAACTTAGTATTGAGAAAATAGATGAACTAAAAAGTGCTAGTATGGTGTTGGTGGGGAGTGGATTCGTTGTTACTTGTTGCTTTTATCAGAAGGTAGGTAGTAGTAGCAGTCCTTCGGGACATCCGCTAGTTTGGCCTAAAGGTTCAACAAGCAATCAATTTGAGGTCACCATACATAAACAAAATAACATACGAAAGAGAAGGGTGTATCAAAACATTTTGTATTAAAATACAACATCAATGAATAGTACAATTTTTCTTGATTCACACGCACAAAAGTCCGTTATAAAAATGTTCATTCGTATAAGAGAAATTGGATTATTAAAGGAATATAAGAGTCACTTTGTTAATACTTAAGTTTAAGGCGTGCTGGTCACAGGAGATGAAAGGTGAGGTCAATGTGTTGGTAGGAGTCATTCGGTATCTCCGGTGGTGAAGGAAGGCTGGAGGCGTCGAGTTTGATGGTTGAGGAAAGCGTAGCGACATTCTCTGACGGTACTTCAAAGCTTTCTCTCCCAGAAGTGAATTTATCGCTCTATTTATTTGTGCCCATCGGATCAGAGTCAGTCTGCTGAAGCAAACTGTTGGGTATGGCGCGGAGCCGTTTAATTGGTGGAAATTGCTTATTATTCTTTTTATTTCTTTTTATTTTCCACCGGAAATTCTGCGTGGAGCCGGGTGCGCAAAGACCAGTATTGGTCATTTGCTGTCTAAACCTCTGAGGGTTAACATCCGGTCCTTCGCTTGCTCCGTGCCACCACACTAGACAAAACAAAATATATAATTCCATCTGAAATAAATCAATGTTTTACAACAATTTTTATCATCAACTTGAGATTCTTCTTGTTAAAAAGTTGAATAATTTTAACACATTCAACATTATGGATAAAAAATAGTGAATTTTATGTAGCGTTCTTTTCGAGACTTAGCATGAACAAAACAAATTCATGGAACAAAAAAAAATTTCGAACAATAAAAGACATCAGAATGACCCCAGAATCTGCAGAAATGTTTCATCTTTTAATAGTTAGTTGTGTTTAGTTTCATTTGTAATGTTTTTATAAATGCAGGTAGAAAAAAAAAAGAAAATGTTGATAAGATAGTGAAGATCACAGAGCATTTTCGGGGTTTCCCAATCAGAGGGTTTGGAGATAGTAGACACCAGCCCTAATTGCATAAAACACTAACTATTGTGTCCTGTCATGATATCAGCCTAAAATGAAATAGATCCGCACTTTTATTTTTTTTCCACATGCCAAAAAACCGAAACAGAGTTACTTCCCCTGACAAGAATTTTCACACATCTGTGTCTGGCAAAAAGGTTTAACACCTGCTACAGGTGATTATTGTCATCAACAGGTTGGTGCCTAAAGTAGATTTTGAAGTGTCATGAAAATTATACATTTCGACCAAATTTCATTTGTATATTTGGTGTGGTTGTTTGCTAACTACTGAGATTGTTCAGACCATTGTCCTCATCTTTATTGTCATACTTACAACATTTCAGCCATTGTATGCTCTGGCCTTCTTCAGATTATACACATTAGAATTTCAAACTGAACCCTTTATTTCACGGGGGTAGATTTTTCTAATTCCATGTGCCACACCTTTCTAGATATCTCAGTTTTCAGTTAATTCCTTGAATTGCCAAGATTTTGCTCTCTCTGCTGTTACCAGGCATTGAACTCACAACTCTTCGGCTAATGTCACTTTTGGATTACTGGATTAAATGTTTTTTTTATTGATTATTGGATTAAATGTTTTTATCCTTGGGAATATCAGTAAGTGAATTTTGGGGACTTATAAACCTAATGTCTCAGTAACTATGTTTTACCAGAGCTCATATTACAATTTTTGTTATTGTTATTTTTTTTCTCTAGCTCTCTGTATTACTAATTCCCATATTGTATTCATTTCAAAGCATACATCTCAGAAATATAGATAGATAGATGCAGCTGTTTGTTGTTGGTCTTTCTGTTTGTCTCATTGATGTTGCAGACTTTGCCTGTGTTATTGTTTTCTACAGATGCAGGTTTAAGCCTATCAATAGCAACTGTGCCATTTTTGCCATTTTTCTGCACAGTAAAACTGGACATTCATGCACACAAAATAAAATGTCAAAATGAGTTTTTTCCTTGACACCACTATTATTTTAACTACCTTCACTCCTCAGCAGTGTTTATTGTTTTAAAGGTGATGATTAGAATTTTAATAAAACCTAAACATAAGATGAAAATGAATTTATAGTTTTTTGTTCTTGAGAATTTACAACAAAATATTAATCCCTATTTATTTATCAGATTATCTACATTATTATATGGCTTATTAGAATTGTTGACAAAATATCAGTTAATTGCCAATCGATTCAAACTTTATAAAATGGTAAATAATAAGGATTTCCTTATAGTTGGTTCACATATTTCTGTTGTTAGGATGACCACAGATGAAGTCTTAGGAGTAAAAAAAACATGTCCAACACTGGATAAAATGTATGATATATATATATATATATATATATATATATATATATATATATATATATTTCCCAGAATGCAACAGGCAGTAATTTTACGTAATAGTGTCATTGATATGCATGTCTACTCTAAATACAAGGATACTACTTTCTTCCATTTCTTGCAATAAAACTAACAAGCCAAGAATGCAGCTATTGAAACTACAACCTATCAGCCTTGTGGCACATAAGACCCTCTATAGAATGTTTTCACTGTGTCTGGTCTATGGCTGTTGCTCACTCCTACCCCAAGAACACCAGCTTTCCTCTCCTCCATAGTCATTTGCTATGCCATTCTTGGTCTTCCCTTTTTCCTTCAGGAGCCCAGGTCCATGCCATATTTCAGCTATTGTTTGGATCTTGCCTTAATATGTGGTTGATGACCATACCCCTTCTT